GGCCAGCTGATTGTTGTTATTAATATTAGTATTATTGTTGTATTTGTTGTTAAACAATTATTTTGTTGACAAACGAATGCACAGAGAGCTCAGCTAATTAGTAGCTACAGTCGATTATCAAAACAAAAAGAATTGGTCGTTTGTTTAAAGTGTGTAAACATCAGCCCGAAGTGGAAAGTGTGTCAATCGCTGTAAATACTCATGAATTCAGTTAATTAATAAAATAACTGCAAGCAATCCTGGACTAAAGCAATAACCAAATGTAATTGATGCACAGCTGCATAACAATTAAATTAAAATTTCATTTTCCAATTGCCAAATTAAATGCTTTGCCACATTTGAAAATGGAATTTGTTTAATTATTCAATATAAATATGTCGAAGAAGTGACATTTTATTCAATAATGGCTTTTCATTTACATATTGCGCGCAATATGCGTGACTTGCTTGAGGACATGTCATGCCAGTTGTCCTGCAGGACAGTCTGCCTGACATGTCAGCAATGTTGTCTTGTAATGCAGCTTCTCTTGGGTTATGCTTTTTAATTAATGGCTTGAGCATGATACCCTTCGATGTGATTCGATGTGATGCGTGACTTGCTTGAGGACATGTCAAGCCAGTTGTCCTGCAGAACAGCCTGCATGACATGTCAGCAGAGTTGTCATGCAGGACAGCCTTTAAACTTCTTTAAGGCTATCCTCGGAGAAGTCTCGTTTGATAATGATTCTTCTCTGTCAAAGATATGAAGTCTATCATGTTTAGCTGTCCGCGAGGGCGTCAACATGTCTCTGAGGCCCAGTTGGCCAGCTGGGTGCATACGTACACACACACACCCACAACACGTGGACAGTTGTTGCAATTCTCTTGCTTAGTTTTGTTTACCCCGAGCCATTTTAATCGAGTCAGCTGATAGCAACAACAGCCACACAGACTCAGACACACAAACGTAGGGCAGATCGTGGCCAAATTTGGTTGCCAACTCTAGAGCTGTATATTCCCATTATAAGTCATATGCAAACATCTAATTTTTAATTGCCATAACAAACAAGAGAGCAGCACAAGCGAAGCCCAGCAGAACGACTGACAGATGCCCTAACTGAAGATTAAATTCATTTTTATGTGTATGGGTAAAACTGAATTTAATAAATATTTATGTCTAAAGGAACCATTGAAAACAATTCAATAAACTTATAGTTCTCAATGGGTATTAAACTAAATTAATTTTGAGTACGGAAACAGAAAGAAGTTAAAATCTCTACATGAATGTTTTGTTAGGCTAAAAACGTTGCTCTGATACATGATAAGTGATACTTTAGTAGAATTGGGACTTAAAGTCGGCTGTTATTCTATATATATGAACTGAGCCTGCAATTAAATCTGCTAAGTAAAAATACCAATAATATTATCCGGCCCATTCGAGCTAAATGTTATTTTCATACAACTAATAACCAATAAGCAACAAGTTAAAAAAATGAAGTCAAAAATTGAGCAGGTTAACTCTCATCTGCAGACTCTAGCATTTCTGCATGTCGAAGCTTTAACTAGTTGAGAATTCTAAGCGAAAACTAACGGAAAAAGCAATCCAAGTACACTTTCTATGGGAAATGAAGAGAGCAAAATATAGAGAGAGACAGAAAGAGAGAGAAAGAGAGAAAGAGAGAACGATAGGTAGAGAGGTGAGTGGGACAGGGAAAGAGCGAGAGGGAGGAAGAGATTCATTAAAATTAAGACGAAGAGCATCGCAATTGTGAGTCAGGCAAAAAAATGCAAAATAATTTTTTGATACAATTGAAAAACTACTCAAATTCGAAAGCAAGCCAAACATTTTTTTGACTGTGTACCTAAGCAGCATTTGGGGTATTAGAGAGCTGGGCCAAAGTAAATTTGCGTGCTTCTCGTTGTCGGCTCTTCTAATCTAAGGCATTATCTGTGGACAAATAGTCTCCAGTGTTCTAGGCGTCATTGACAGAGCTTTTCTCATTATCAGCAGCAGGCAAATAGTATAAGTAAATATCTAATTGTTGTCCGCCTCGCAGCTCTCTAGCCAACGGTTTTCCCAGTGTTTTTGTTGTTGCTGTTGTTCTTTCCACCTGACAGCTAGCAATTAGGCTGGGAGGGGGGTAGGGGAGGGCGGGGCTGACTGTTAATCGAAGTGTCGGGCTGGCAGGCGTTCGACATGTGTCGTTGAGGGGGGATTTCGACTGAGGAAGCTGCATTTGTCAGTTGGTTGTGAGTTTATTTATGACGCCAGTTGCGCTCTCACAGCTAAAAAGCAAATAATAATCGGGAGTGATCGACTGGGAGATACTCTGCATACAAATATTTAAGCTTTCTGCTGTGCAAAAGCTATACTTCCTTTCTCCTTAATCTTCCCCCTACTCTATGAGAAGTGCGTTCCAGATTAGCTTGGGTGTTTCTAGTGCGATCTTCATAAAATATTCAGATCCTAAATATGTCAGCCAATTGTGTGCACATACCAAAGCTGAAAAGGTAGCTGTTAAAAATGATGTTTTTTTCCAATTCTGAGCGGAACGCGGGAAAGAGATTCATAAAGAAAACTATTCTGGATCTGTGTACACTATACAAAAGTCTAAATGCCTTATTTGCGGTTTCTAGCGCTTAAAATCTTCGAGTTATGCCTTAAAAACCAACTGTAAAAATCGATATTTATCGATATTATGAAAATGGCTTAAGATATCGATAAGCTACTGCTGTGTATAGTATGGAATAATATAAATTGGAAAGTTCAAAGTTGTAATTTCTGAGATCTAGAAAAAAATTGCACAAAAAGCGTGACGTCGATATCGATTATTATCGATTTTATGGAAATGGGACTTGTTATCGCTAATTTGAAATAGATTTGAACTTGGACTTCAGCTGGAAGATGTCTCTAGCTCTTAAATATGGCGAGATCAATGCGGCAGAGAGACGAATAAGATCTGATCGACTCGCCTGATGCTAGCCAAGAATACGATGAGCTTGATCATCCCGTTGCATTAACACAGGTTGAGAGTATAACAATTAGCTAAACACGAAGCGAAGCAAAGTTAAATTATATAATCAATATACATTTATATTTAAATTTGAATTTTACAGTGCAATAATTCACATTGTATGGCATATATGTATATATTATAAAGCGACCCGAGTCATTCAACTTTATGGGCGCAACACTAAAACACTAAAAACCCAGCCAATTAATCAATTGATCTGTGTGCATGAGGCATGAGCAATCGTTGGCCGGGTCTAATCAATTAATCTAGTCGAGTAGCTGCCATAATTCATGCTTGAGATTGTGGAAAGCGATCGGGAAACATTACCTTTAGTCAGAGGCCCGTCGCGGCTGTTGCTGATATCCGTTGAAGATCGTTGAGCGAATTTTACAATTTACAAGCTATCTGCTGCAGGCCATAAATTAAGGCGCACTTAATTATTAATTTATGAATTTAAATTATGACACACTGGCACACAGATGGGCAGAGGCAGAGATAGAGTAGGATAGACAGACACTTTAGTAGCCAGAGATTCAGCTGCAGATATAGATATATGTATGTATATCTCTTTTGTTATATATATGTACAGGGCACTCGCTTGGGCTTCACGAATCCAAACACTGATTTATGCCGCGTATTTAGACTTTAAATTAACACTTCCGCGTCGCTTCAGCTGCACTTGAAGATCACAAAAAAACCTGACGATCCACGACTTAAGTGGCATCAATTTAGTTGTACACAGGAATCTCCTTGCGAGCCGCCACACGGCAAACTGTGCCCAAAAACCGAACCGCACGATCGAGCTGCACAAGCCCAACTGACTGGAACCCAATTGCCAGACTGATAAGACCTCGCACACTCGATCCACACTCGTTCCGAGCTCCGAGCGAGAGCTCTGAGAGAAATGCGTTTGTGTGTGCCGATAAAAAAGTACTATATCGCATGCGATAACTGACACAACTCGCATGCGACACAAGTTAAACGCAAATGGAATACACGCTGAAGCACAGGTAAACCCCGAGCTGCCACATTCTAGCCTAGATACAAACACAGCCAAATATATCGCTTGCTTGCACTTGATTAACTTTGATGTTTATGGATCGATCTTTATAAAAACACTCAAAACATATTCATTGCATTCGAATGTATGTAAATACCAAAGCTAAAGCATATACCTGGAATAAAATTACTATATCGCATGCGTTTTATTAACTATTAACTATACAATTAATACAATTTTTCGGTGAGCTGCGGAAGGTGTCCAATAAGTAAAATATTCTGCATATTATAGCAAGCAGGAGCCTAATTGTCAAATTTGACGTCTCTAGCTCTTTTAGGCACCGAGGCACAAAGGCATAAAATAGGATGTTAGTATCGATATTTATCGATTTCGTAAAGGAGACAAGGAGGAGGATCTACGTTCAAATATTCTACTCTCTGGCTCTCTCTAGCTTATGGTCTCTGAGATCGTATTCGTACATAAAGACAGACGGACAGACGCACATAATTAATACTCTGAGATATGATTTCAAATTCTTAAGTAAAATGTATACGTGAGTCGAAACTATAAGATCAATTTCTATATGATTTTTATCTATTTAATTGCATTTAATATCGATATCAAGCGATCAAATATAACTAATGCAATAAATGCGAGGAATACGAGTTCTAATTAAAACCGGACTGGAAAATAGCCCGGACCTAAAAAGTCATTAAAATCTATCGGAAAAAGGAAGTAGATTCAGACTCAAGAATCGATTACAACATCTTGAAAATATCGATAAATCTTATTGCATGTGATAACAAAATGCTACTCAAAACGATTTTACAGCTTGTGATCAACTCTTTAACAATATATAAAAAGCTATTAAGAAATATTTATTAATCGATCTAAGTTATCCATCAAATATAACGCCTACGATAAATGCGATGAATTCTAGTAGGAAACATCACGGACCTGACCACTAAAAATCTATCGGAACTGGAGCGTAGATGCATGAAACGATAATTCTAAGCGATTACAACCAATCGTTTAATGTAAATTTTGAACTGTACACACATAATCAAGCGATTGAGAAACAACCCATCTATAACAAAGTATGCACCTATAAATACATATGCGTGAGTGCTTCGATTTGAAATATTCTGCAGACTCGTGCAACTTCTACTAGTCTGGGTTTTTGATCCTGATCCAGCCTGTTCTGGCCTACAGACCCGGTCCAGAGCTCTCCGAGCCGAGCACGTACTTGTAGTAGGCCTTGTTGAGCTGCTCGAGGAAAACAAATGCGAACACCGTGTGCGGGCCAATGCGTGCCAGATAGGGCGTAAAGCCCTTCCAGAGGGCAAAGAAGCCCTCGTTCTGGATCACCTTCAAGATGACATCAACGGCGCCCTTATACTCGGCCTTGCCATCGACTACCTTCATGTTCTGTATGCGCGTCTTGGCCATGTCCAGCGGCATTGAGGCAATCGTTGTCAGCAGGCCGGAGAACATGCTGGCCACAATGTGTAGCGGCAGGCCCTCGTCCAGGTACTGCTTGAACGCGGCCTTGAACTGCGAGTAGGAGGCCAGCTGCACCATATTGACGACCATGGCGCGTGCCACAGTCGGCAAACAGCCGCGCCACAGCGTAAAGATGCCCTCCTCCCGAACTATCCGGACGACTGCGTCTCCGACATTCTTGTAGTTGCGTCGCTGTTCCGGCGGCAGACGATTGTCGGACATCATCCGTATGAGTGCCACCTCCGCCGGATTGCCGACCATGGCGCCGCAGGCGCCCGCCAAAATGCCCATGGCCATGCTGGCCAGCACTGTTGGCGCCTTATCGAAACGCTTCCGATAGGCTTCGATCTCCATCTGATAGACGCCCATGCGGGCCGTTGTGTACGTCGCCTGTCTCAGCAAGCCGGCGCTGAGCCCGTTGTAGAAGGCCAACAGGCCCTCGGACTTGAATACCTTGGCGATGCAGTCGAACGAGCTGCTAAACTCCTTCTGGCCACTGGCACCCGCTATTTGCATCCGGGTCTTCACCAAATCGAGCGGCTGTACAATGCAAGAGCCCAACATGCCCGCCGTACCGCCCAGCACGTACTTCATGTAATTTGGAATTGTCTTGTTGTCTGCCTCGTGAGCGATCACCATGTTTTGCGCAGTATTTGAACTCTTACAAAATCTGGAAAATTTCGAAAATATATATATGTATATATATATTTATGTATATATTTATTTATCAAAAGCCTACGGGGCTGTGTGTGCTCGACAGTGTAGTTCCAAATTGATGATGTCCGATTTTAGGATTCGTTGACCTATAAAACGCTTTTGATCATTCTGCTGAGGCCTACTGCTCGGCATGGTTATCGAGACTGTTATCGATGACGAAATGTATCGTACTAAATGACGGTTTGCTCGGCATGATTATCGACTTTGTTATCGATGACAAAATGTATTGGGCTAACTGACGGTTTGCTCGACATGGTTATCGATTTAGTAATCGATGACAAAATGTATCGAACTAAATGACGGTTTGCTCGGAATGGTTATCGAGATTGTTATCGATGACAAAATTTATCGTACTAAATGACTGTTGACTCGGCGTGGTTATCGAGATTGTTATCGATGACAGAATGTATTGGGCATGGCTATCGAGACTGTTATCGATGACAAAATGTATCGAACTAAATGACGGTTTGCTCGGAATGGTTATCGAGATTGTTATCGATGACAAAATGTATCGGACTAAATGACTGCTGGCTCGGCATGGTTATCGAGATTGTTATCGATGACAGAATGTATCGGTCATAGCCATGCCGACATTATCGATGACAAAATTAATCGGACTCTTTGAATAGATTATGAGTGAGGGATTCAGGCGATTGGAGTGTGGATCTTTGAGGTCACAATTGGATCGCCTTGTGAATGTGGGTCGCTGCAGCATTGAATTTAATTGTGGCAGTTAACAGGGCAACGCCAACAGATCAATTAACGCGCCCATCTAATTTTCCGCACATGTCAGATAATTGTTGAACTTTGTCTTTGCCACCTGACGCCGCCACCCACCACGCACCTGCCACCTGCCAACTGCCAACTGCCACCTGAACCCACAAATTAACGGGGCCCAGTCAAATGGCTCATTATCTGTTTTGTGGCCCGGGCCTGTCATCATTAGAAAATTGTTCGAATTGCAATTAGAAGAAGCTTCACATTACGCAAAAACTGGGCCACAGTGGGGCCCGTAATTAGACAGGCGAAAAACAAAAATTGTTATGTCAGCGAAAAGAACACACAAATATGTACTTACAAATCGCATATCGGCAACTCATTGCGGGCTAATTAAGAGCTCATGCGGCCAACACGCAATCACAACAACAACAACAACAAGAACTAGAACTTGCAACGTTGTTGATTTTCGCGTGGCTCAAACAAAAATCGCATGCAGCAGACGAAAGTGTCGACTAATTAGTGGGCGCGGGTTTGTGTCTCGGCTAGACGCAAACCAAACGCCGTAGCATACTTTCGGGCAGCAAATATTTAAATTAGACGCTTATTTGCGGCAGCTCGAAGTGCGGCGCGTTGCACGGCTCCAAGTCGAGTAAAAGTGGGCCAACAAATGCCAATTGGCAATTGTGAAAATTGTAAATAAATATTTCAACAAATTGACAACAAGCCGGCAAACGGAGCGCGCGTCTATAAATCAGATCCGATATCGGCAGCTGGTTGCGGTTGCAGCGTTCAGAGTCCGCCAGAAACCGCGCCCGGGCAGCCCTACAAGCGTGGCATGAAAAACTTGCCGTGGAAAACAAGCGCAACAAAAACTAGCATGTAACTGAGCTCTGTTGGGGGAGTGACCCAATGCAAGATACCCTAGAAAATTCCTTTGGAATGGGCAATGCATTCTTGTTTAACTTCGGTGCTTGAAGTCCGATCTTTATCAAATTTTCATGGCTTAAGTATGACATATCATAATGTGTACATACGAAAGCGCAAGGTTCTACCCTTAAAAATGTTTCTTTCTTTCATTTCGGGGGAAAAGGCGAGAGGTATGCAAAAATTGAAATATTTGTAGATGGGGTATACTATAAAAGAACCCTCATCCAAAATTTGGTATCTCTAGCTCTGCAAATCTTCGAGCTATGCCTAAAAACCCAAGCAAAAAGGCAAAAGATATCGAAGTAAAATCGATAAGCTGCTGCTTCTAGTTTGGGAGAAGATATACCGACAATCTGAAGTATATATATAGATGCATATGCCTAGATCCGCTCGGCTCACACTCGAAGATGCTTCCTACTCCCTGTCACGTACCTTGCCACAAAATCAGCATACCCTTTCTTGTCCATTTTCAATGAGTTCAGGGTATAAATATGTTGACAACGCGATGTTGTTGATAAGGGCAAAAGGGGAGCTAAAAGCGGGCAGCGGCAGTGCATGGAAACCGCAGAGCTGAGCTGAGGCTGTAGCTTAAAGCAAAATGACAATAACAGCTGCAATTCAAAGAGTGTCGGGTGGAGGAGGGGAGGAGAGGAGGGGGAGGGGGCAGCGTGTGAGCGGCGAGCGAGCGACAAAAAGCGACTGCAAAAGTACACACAAAAAACGAGGCATTAAGTGGCGAACCGTTAAGAAGTCATTGGGTAGACTAAAACCTGAAACAGCAATAAAGCGACGTCGGCGTCGGCGTCAACGTTGACGCAGCGCATGAAAAACTTAACTGCCGCAATTTCTGAAGTAAACAGAGCAAACTATGAGAGAGTAAGCCGTGGCCGAAGAAGAAGAACTAACAGTGAGAGCAGAGCCAAGCTTGAGAGTAAAAGTTGACAGCGCGAGCGCAGCGAAAGCTGCATACATACAGCTAGGGCCACACAAATGGGACCACTTTATAGACAAATTATTGATATTGAAGCTTGACAAGAGAATGAATGTTGACTTCTCTTATATTTACAGTCAAAATAGGAATATTTGTTAAATATTAAAAATATTAAAATGAGTTCAGAGAACAACATACACAGTAGAAAAAAGTAATGTTCAGAATCAATAAACAGAGAGAAATATGATGCTATTTGTGTGGCTGTGTATAAACAAGTTTACATATGTCGGAAATGTAAATGTCAATATATGCATATGTATTTAAATTGATGAACCTGTTGTCATCAAATATATACAAAAAAAAAAACAATTATAGAGCCTCACATAGAACCAGACAGAAGCGCTTAAATGTGTGTCACACAATTCCGGTTTTAATTTTTGTTGTCTGTTAAATGCTGTTGATGCTGCCCAAAAAAAAAAAAAAACAAGTAGAAAAAAACTAACGCACAATGTAATAAACAGTTATTGTTAAACAATAAATCAATAGCTGACAAAAAAAAAATTCTAAACGAAAGACTCGAGCGGCAAACTTGCGATCATTGCGGCGCGCGCTCTATCTCTCTCAAACGCGCTCTCTTTCGAACTCGACGAACGACGGCTTTTCGAAGTTCGAACAAGAAAGCTGCAGCTCGTCGCCCAGCAGCTGCAGCCGAAAACTTTGGTCATTCGTCAGTGAACCGTCGTGTGGCTCGCAAGCGGCGCTTAAGAGCTGAGCCGATCGCCCCAAAACCCGTTAACAATTATCGTAGCGTCTTCTTCTTCGCCGAAGAACGAACGTTTTACAAGCAACAACAAAGCAGAAGAAAAAGAAAAAAAACAAAAACAAAAGCGTCGCTTTCTGCATTTTGTTTTCGTATCACATTTTATCGGTCTATTTGTGTTTCTCTCGCTCTAGCCGTGTGTGCGTTTGTGTGCGTGTTACCATTTGCATTTTCGGCTTTTATTTTGGAATCTCGTTTTCCTTTTTTTCGCTCTGTGCTGCGCTTTTGCATTTCTCGTTCAGTTCAGTTCATTCCGGTTCATTCCAGTTCATTTCGGTTCGGTTCGTTTCTCAGCCAGGCTTTAAAAATAGCCTTTAAATTAATTACTTAGCCGCTTCTGCTTCTTCTAATCGCAGCGCGTGTTTAACAAAAAAAAAAAGTGCACCTGCACGAAATTTCACTCGAAAAGTGCTCGAAAAAGTGTTCAAAAAAAACGGCACAAGTTCTGTTTGCCATGTTATTAACATTGTGTTCATAATTCCACTGCATGTACAAATATAATAAATACAAGCTCAAATAGAAAGCAACAAATTTCTACAGCAAACACAGCAACAACTACAACAACAATCAGCATAAACTAGCGGAATAGCTCGAGAAACTTAAATAAAAGAGGTATGTTAAATGCATATCGATGCTTGCAGCCGAATAGAACTAGAACAGAAATACAGTGAACACTGCCTAATGAGAGCTGCTAAATTATTTGTTAACTTAACATGCCCCTTAAATACCTTAGAATGGGATTATTATTAACTTTTTTTAATAAGAGAAAAGTGTGGTTAAAGAAAAGACAATTTTCTGAATTTAAGGATATTTTTTATATTATGAAGTTTTTTTTAAATTTAGCCAAAAATTTGTTTTCACAAAAAAATTTGATAACAATCCCTTAGTATAATCAACTTAATCTGTTTGCCAAAAACTTTTTTTTTTAGAAAAAATCGTACTATATAACTTTTAGTTAACATCATTTTCGACAGCTCCCAACTTTTTTACTATAAATTACAAAAACTTAACCCTAGTAAAAAAAACTATTAAAGACAAATTGGCAAAAGTGAGAAAAAACAAGAATATTTTGCGAAATTAAGATAAGTTTTTATTAAATCGCGAATTTCTAAAATGTAGGCAACATTTATTGTTGTAAAAGTTCCTCTAAATCATTTTGTACAGCTCCCAACTTTAACACTCAAAATTATGATTTGCTTTATGAAATTAACTCTGGTTATGAGAGAAGACTTATAAAGTGAAAATTTGAATAGGAAAATTCTTAAAGCTAAGCTCAAGCAATTATTTAATACAATATTCTGTAAATTAAAATAATTGAATATCTACAGAATAGTCACACAAGTTTGATTTATAACTCAAATCAGTTAATTTAAAGACCGTAACGAGTTCTAGTTAGCGAGCATTCACTGTAGCTCGACTGCATAACTGTTTGATTATTTCATTGACAAGCGGCGCTACAGGAAGAACCTGTAGCTCAAGCCCCGGCTAAGCCCGACTCGGCCAAATAGTCAAAAGCGTGTAGAGATGAAGAAATTAATTCTTCAGTTTTCCAGCTAATATATTCATTAATACATTTCACTTCGAAGACGATTTGCATATCGCATTCAGCTGAAAAAGAAAACAATGTCGAAATTCGAATCTCTTTTTTTTTTTTTGATTGAGCTTTGAATAGATTTTCACGTCCATTGACTGGGCCATAAAATATGGTCTCTGTTGGAAGCTTGCAACCGAAAATAACACTTGCTGCACGATTGAACTTTAAGCCGAATTCTTTGCTGTCTGCGGGCCGCCTCGATTGGACGATGGCGATGTTCAAGCCGCAATCGCAGCTAAAACTGGCCAATTTTTTTTTTGTTTCGTGGGAACTCTTTCGAGTCGCGTCTGGCATTTGCCTGTGCGGCACACATTTTTTTTCAGTTAGCCTAGACGAAACTGGCTTTCAGAACAGGAATTTCCACTCCTACAACAACACAGAGAGCTGTAATTGACATTTGCAATACCCTATGCTGGGGGTATTTCAATATTGTCATGAAGTGTGTCACGCATGGAAGGTGAGATTCTTCCACAAAGTGAAGGCTCTCTCTATACAAGATCTTAGCCCTTCCAAGGGGGGATACTTGGTTCAAAGGTATAAAAGAGATTGGGATTAACTAAAACTAAACCCCACATAAGATAAGATATAGAGTATCTAATCGTCGTCAACCGGAAAGAGATTCTCTCTTCTTTCCTCTTCTTAATGAACACACAAGGCTTTGTTTCTTTAAAAGGAGATAGTTAGATCAAAGGTATACAAAAGATTGGGATTATCTATCAATCTATATATGATATAGAGTATCTAATCGTTGTCAACCGGAAAAGAATATCATATTTCCTGTTTTAGAGAAGAGAACTGTTTGCTATTATCTGAAAGGTCTCCTCAAAGACAAAGTGTAAGCTCTTCAAAGGGAGAGAGTTGGATCAAAAGTATGACAAAGATTGGGATTAACTTTACACCACATAAGGCATAGAGTATTCATTCGTCGTCAACCGGAAAGAAGAGCGAGCTTCTACTCTTTCCTGTTTAGTAATTGCAAAGATTTTGTTGCTCTTATTTTCAACTTGAAATTCTTTGATTTTTAATCGTCAACAATTAAGGTCAAAATACAAAACTGGAACTCAATGCACAATAATAAAAATAAAATACAAATGTCGTAAATCTAGACAAATATTTCCGGGCCAAAGATGGTTACTTTCGTTTGAAACGCGACACGTGGCTTGGGCGGCGTGTTGGGTGCCTTTCTCACGGCCGACGGATGATCAGCTGAGCCGGATGCGAGACTGGAACTTGAACTGGAACTCAAGCTGAAGCTGGAGCTCTTGCGGCGCCGCATGGTGCGCAGCTCGTCGCGCAGCTGCTCCTTGTAGACGAGCTCCCGCTTGCAGGCCTGCAGCTCCTCGACGCTGCAGTGCTTCAGCTGGCGTATGGTGCGCGAGACGAGGCCGTCGATGATGTGGATTTTGGTGCGCGACAAGCGCGTCGGCTCCGCATGCCTCCGGGTCAGCTCGCTCTGATACTGGAACAGCAAATAGCCGACGCTCGGACGTGCGCCTCGACGATTCTGACTGTTGTTGTTGTTGTTGTTGCGTTGGCTTTCCATGGCGATTGTTTGGGCTACGAGAAGTCCAGTTGTGGCTGTGACTGCTTGGCAGTTCGAGCTGTGAATGATGTCCTCTTGTACTTTACCAGGATTATTTATATCTGGGCCGCAGGGGGAGGCGCCTGTAGCTACCTGTTGCCGCAACTGGACAATGGCTTCTCTCCACTGTCGACCTGTGCGCGAATCGCGTAATTACCTGGTGTCAAAGTGCGACGCCGTCTTATCGAATCTCCAGATTGTTGTTGCCTAGGTAAAACCCACAATTGCTCTTTCTCTTTCTCTGGCTCTGGCTCTGGCTTCTGTTGCAAATGTTGTTAAATGTTGTTTGACGTCCCTTGCAAAGGTTGCCTTTGATTTGTTTGTCTTGACTGAATTTTCGTTGAACAGCAGCAGCAGCAACAATTTATGACTCGACCTTTGTATAAATATGCCAAGCTGTCTAGAAAGTGCTTGGCTTTAGCGCGTGGTAAATTGTAGTTGTAAAAGGAAGAGTGGGGCACTTATAGATACCCTAGATTCACATATATTCCCCTTGCTATCAAGTATTGAATTTTCATTCGTTAATAACTCGAGTTTTCATTGTCTGACTTTAATGAAAATTTCCAAGCTTACATTTGACTATCAAATGTGGCCATATACCAAAAATCAAGGCAGATCCAGAATATATATAAACATTGGAGAAATTCTCCCTTCCTTCCCTTTGCCCAGCGCACACTTGTAATACGCCCCCTTCCATCCATTTCCAGGCTTTGGCGCTTATTAAATCGACTTAAATTTTTCATTAGCCCAGCTAATTAATTCTCTTGAACTACTTCCAAGTCTGTGTAGCCCTTGGCCTAATAAATGTGCTTTAATTTTTGCAGAAATACATTCTGACCCTCTTCCACGGAGTGCTTATTAAATATTTATTTATGAACGAATCTTCGAGCCGTCTGATCCCCCTCTCTCTTCGTCCCCCTCCACGGTTAGGGCTAACATTTGAAAATAACTTTGCGCATAATTATTATTTGCACTTAATTTAATTGAGCTGCCGATGCGAAGTGCTCGAAATGCGCATTTTAACTAAAAACTTTAGGTTAATTATGTTAAAATGTGTGCCAAAGAAAAGTGAAAATTCCTTCGCTATTGTTTGTCTTTCACTCAAAGCGCTAAGCGCTGCGACTTGTCAAAAATTCTTCTAAATGTGCTCAGCTGCATTCAACAACAACAGCAACAACAACAACGACAACGATAATAACCTTAACAACAATAACAATTATAACTACGTAAAGCCCACATCGAGCTCTGTCAGTGAAAGTTCGGCAGGGCGCTTAAGCTTTAAATATTTTAAAATAAATATAAATGCCCTTCACATAGAGTCTCCCAGTATTGAGAGTTGCTTGGAAGCAATTTATTGTGGCACGCAAAATATACTCTATAGAAAGTTCGAGAAATTCTAATGAGATTTACAAACTCATGCCACAAAAGTAGAGATTGCTAGATATATGGCATATGCTACATATGCGTCAGGGTATTTAAAGTGCAGCTATCCAAAGCTACAAATTCTTTCCTACATATTATGCTAATGCTTATGCTGTGCCGTCTGCATGCCCCGCAATGCTCATATATGTATAAATACATCCATTATGATACTCTGCTCATTTTGTGGCGCTAAATGCAGGGCCCGCGAGGCGCAAACAAAGCAGAAAACGAAAAAAAAGACGATAAACGACCTACAAAAATCTGAAAAATCCCTCATAATGAAAATATGAAAAGAGCAATCGCCCGAACCCATTCAAAATGAATGAAAAGGGTATTGGGTAATATATGTAAACAAGCAGAAGAAGGCATTTCCAGTTCCATAGAGTACATATGTTATGGGTCAGATGGGCATGAGTTGCTTTGGGAAACTACAAAAGCTGCAGACATATTACTATTATACCATAGAGTACATATATTTTTGGTCGGAATGACGAGCGGAGTCGCAATCGGACACTACAAAAGCTATTCTCATTTAACATAAGCAGAACGACTTGATTCGATATCTCCTCCCATTTTCAGTTACATAAAGGTTATCTTCTTAGCATAAGTCGAAGATTGTAAGAGCTTGATAAATCGAACTTTGCATTCAAGCTTAGTATAGTGTATGGTATATAGTATACATATGAATTAGGGCAAAGTGTCATTTTTTATACCTCCCCCATTTTAGTATATATAGTATACACATATATATTAGGACGAAAGCGCTTTTTGCATACCACCCCTATCTAAGCATAGTATATAGAATACATGTTTGTTAGAACATAGTCGCTCCTTGGATAACTCCCCCATTTAAGTCGCTTTTGGCATATCTCCCTCATTTACCAAAATTCGTAAAGAACAATTGATTCCTAATGTCAGAGCTTTGGTATACACACTCTATTGAGTGCCATATTTGAATCCTGAAATTTTCATAAAGATCGGACTTCAAATACCGAAGTTAATCGAGACTTCATTTCCTATAAACAAGGTGTGTGCAACTAGAGGAAGAAGCAGAAAAGGAAGAAGAAGCAGTTGCTGCGTAAATTCGTGTCTGTCTCTGTGTGTGTGTAGGTATAGAAGAAAGAAAGAAGCAGGTTCAGCTTGTACGGGGTATCTCCTAGCTGGGCACTCTCAAGTGCTTTTCGGTTGTCTTGATTCTAATTGTGATTGAGCAGCAGCTGACCGATAAATTTGGATGCCTGAACACGCACAACTCCGCTGCCCTGTGTCCCATCCCCTTCCCCTCTCCCCCTCCCCTCTCCCCCCTTAGCTGATCAAGTGGCGTGGCGAGCGTTGAGCGCGTTGAATTGGAAGCTGTCTGCGAGCTGTCAAACGCAGCTATTGCTGTCCGCATCGATGGCTCGCTTCGCGGTCGCACTTCAATTTTGGCTTTGACCTCTTGTTACCTGACCCGCCGGCCGCGCCTTTAGGCAATGCAATGTCGGGTGAGGCAAGCGCTCATAAAACGCTGATGCGTCGCATTTGCTTAAGCCGGCGCGTGGTCTTTCCCAAGTTCTTAATCCGGCTGCGAACATCCTTTTGTTTTTCTACATTCCCGCTACTGGCTGGCAATTATAAAAGGATTATGCCATTTGTGACCCGACTGTCCTCTGGCCAACACCCTCTGCCCGGCAGGCACTTGCATATTTCATTATGACGCGCTTTAATGAATTACCTGGAAGTTGTTAAGTGCACAAAAGGCATCGGGAATTTCACGCGAGTTCTGTGCAAGTTCTAGAACATTTTTTTTGACTCTCACAATGGCTATGCTAATGAGCCGCAAGATGCGACACATGGAAACACACGTGAATATGACAGCAGCAAAAGCACCTAAACAAACAAATTTCAAGAATGTTACCAAAAAAGGAAAAACGAACACGAACTCGAACTCAAACTCAAACTCAAGCTGACAAAAAGCATAAGTAATGGCAGAGTACAGTGAACGCTCGTTAATTGAATCATTAGCTATGACAGTACAGTGAACGCTCGTTAATTGAAAACTTTAGTTATTGCAGAACTTGGAACTTCCGCTCAAAGTGTAAATATATCAAAACCGTATTCAACCAAATAGGGATACAACTTGACTATCTTCATGTGCATGATATTCTTATTAATTCGAGTATGATACTTAAATACTCAAGATAATGGGTGTATTCTTTTGCAAAGAGCTCGGAAAATGATGCATACAGGGTATACAATGGCTTACTTCACGCACTTGCCAATCAATTCCCAAATATCTTAACTTTAAGAAACGAGCATGTATGTATAGTATACATAGATTCCGGAAATTAAATGTTAATCCCGGAAATTACTCAAGTTTTCATTAACTGATTTTAATGATATTTTCAAGGCTTCGAATAATGATTTTAATAGAATATGGAATATGGATCAATAAATGGAATATGGATATATAAAGTACAACTGAAGGACTGCATACTTTGCTTACTCTTTCAACTTCTACTTAATACAGATGACATATGAATTGTGTTTTGGATAAACATTATGTAATTGACCCGCAATTACAAAAGCAGCTAATGTTGCACTTCGTATAATGAATATTACATAATATGGTAGAATATGGAAAATGGATCAAACACAATTTTCATATAAATTGATATACAACTAAAAGACTGGGTCCGCCTTCTTTACTTTAGTTCAAGTTCTTCCTTATATAGATGACATATCATCTTTTTTAGACAAATATTAATTCCATTGGCAACTAATCTTGCAATTCGTATAATGAATATGACAGCAATATGCAATATGGATCAATGACAATTTTTTATATGGGTCTGCTTACTTTGCTTACTCTTTCAAGTTCTTCCTTATCTAGATGACATATCATCTGTTTTGGATAAACATTATTTTATTGACCCACAATTCCAGAGGCAGCTTATGTTGCACTTCGTATAATGAATATGACAGAAATGTGGATCAATGTCAATTATCAAATAAATTGCTTTACAATTGAAAGACTGGTTCCGTTTGCTTTGCTTACTCCTTCAAGCTCTTCATATAGCTGCCATATCATCTGGGGTAGTGACCTGTTTCTCAACGTTGCCCCGTTGCCGGCGCGGCGCGACAAGTTCGTTCATGCCTCGCTGCATTCAACTGGCAGCTGGCTTTTGCGCTTATTTGTATTTGCATTTGCATATGGATATGGATATAAGTGTGTGTTATGGCTGGTAAACCAAACGGTTAGCGTTCAAAGTGGATTAGGCCGGATTAAGCGACGAAATATTTTTGCACAAATATTTACAGTTGCCCGACCTGAGACCAGGCACAGTTACAGGTACAGGTAGCACTGGCACAGGTAGCACCCAGGTAGAATCGAGTCACATATAAACCGGGTTCAATGCGACATTGGTACACACTTGATCAACGGCAAGCAAAGCAACAGCAACAACTTGGACAAAAATGGAGCACGACAAGATGCTGAAGCCAACCGTCTCGTACCATTTGTTCCTGTACCGCGTGGAGCTGGCCAGACGGAATGCACGCCAGCTGCGCCTGTCCCGCACCAAGATCGAGATCACGGACGAGCTCATCTCGCGAACGGTGCGCAACCTCAAGAGCTGCAGCATGGACGATCTCAAAGCGGTCAACCGGGAGCTGCTCTTCAAGCGCAAGCTGCGGCACAATGTTTCAAAGCTGCGCAAGCAAGCCAAGAAGCTGAAGTCATGAGAGGAAGAGTCAAGAGGAGAAGTGTAGCCATAAGAGAGGAGAAAGGTTGGGCGAGGGACGTCAACAAAAAATTGTACATAAACATTTTGTAAATAAAAACTCTAAGATTATGCAACAAGAAATAATTGTCTTTTTACTCCATATTTAAAAAAATTCTCAGAAAAATTGAACCCAAAGTCTCTCTAAAATTCCAATGCAATTGGCTTTGTTTATTAGAAATATATTCTAACAAAACTTGCAACATTTCTAAAAGGGAGAATAAATGTGTCTGAAGGGTAAACATTTTTGCTAAAAGCAGAAAAAGTTTTCAAGAAAATAGAAAAATGTTTTAAATATTTATCAGAATAATTGTCAAATGGCAAAAATGTATATCTGAAATCAGAGCTGCGGCGCAGCCAAGGCGTAGAGAATATTTTGTCAATAAATATTCTGCACCAAGAAATATTTCACTTTTTATGCTCTATTCAAAAATATTGCCATTCCAAGGCGATTGTTTGTTTTTTTATGAAAAATATTCTAAAAACATGTCAATATTTCTGAGACGGCAAAAAAATATCCGAAGAGTAATAAAATATGCAAAAAAAGTTATGGTATATGTTCTTTTAGGATACATTTCACAAAAATTCTAGAAATATTCGCAATATTTTCAAAAGTAGAAAATTGTCTAAAAAGTAGAGAATTAATATTAAAAAGACACGCAATATTTCTAAAAGGGAGAAAAAATGTGAGACAGACAAACTTTTTTGTTAAAAGAAAATACAACTTGAAGAATATAGAAAATAGGTCTAAATATGAATCAGAATAATAGTCAGAAAATATAAATATATTCCCGAACTCAAAGCTGCGACATAGCCAAAAAAAAACTGGTCATAAGCGAAGCGAGCGATTTGGGTCATCGAAAAAAATGGTCAATAAACATTTTGTCAATAAATACTGTGATAAGATTCTGCACTGGAAACGCTTAGCACTTGCATATTATTTGCCAAAACTTGTTAATTTGATGGTCTATTCAAAAAGTGGAGAAGCTTAAGCCCCAGTAAAAATGGAGAGAGAAGCAAAAAAAAAAACTAGGTAGCTGAATCAGCAAATGCCGCACAAAGGCAAAATGTAAACTTCTCCGACTTGGACTCAGATTTCGACTTGGCTGCAAAGCGAAATATGCAAAAAAAGTCGTTTGCATTGAACAAAAGTAAATGGCTAAAAAGCTGAGCAAAAAATGAATTTCATGTTAACGGCAAAGCAAAACCAAAAAAGATGAAGCTCCAGGGTGGAGAGGTGTTGAGGGAGGGGGGAGAGGGGGTTGGCTAGGCTAACCAGTTGCAAAAATATTGGTTTTTTTTTTGTGGTCAACAACTTAATTAGAAATTGCAAATGCAATTAAAAAACGCAGCGCCACAATCAAATTTAAATATATAAAATATATATATATATACTATATATAGGTATTTTAAATATACATATATATATATATGTGTCTATGGCCGACCGCTTTGTAGCGCCATGAGAAACCGAAACAAGTTCGCTGCATAAATTAACCAAAGTCAAAGTAACGAAATCAAAGTGCCAAACAGCACCAAACAGCAACAGCAGCAATAGCAGCAGCAGCTGAAGAGAGCGCAAAGATCAGAGTTGATTTAAACACACTGCAAAACAAGAAAGCACTAGAAACTAACTCTAGACGAAGACTTAATGCACTCACTGTTAAAGCAAAGCGATTAAAATTGGATAAGCTAAAATTAAATCTGTTTATCACATAAACATTTCAGCGAATGTCGAGTCCAGCAAAGCCCAAAGTGAACCGATTTTGTTGTTATATAAGATGTACTGCAAAGACTCTCAATGCAGGTTACTGGTTCGAATCTTGTAAAGATAAAGATACCGAATAGTATATACTTATCGGGGTTGAACAAACCGATTTTGAGCTGATATAAATCTTACCGTGATTTAGGTGAAGAAGCTTAAAGAAGGTTACCGGTTCGAATCTCTTAAAGCAATACAATTTCTCATAAAGGTCTGAATAGTATACATATATATGTACAGTATATTTATCGGGGTTAAATAAACAGATTTTGATCTAATAAATAGATTTAGGCAAAGATACTAAAGAGAGGTTGCTGGTTCAAATCCCTGAAAAGAATATGCACTTTGCATTGCTGCCGTAATTTCTAATTGCATTGACAAAGCTAAGCTTATAGTTTTAAGCCATATTCTATGATGTAAACTATAATAATTATGGCTTAGTATATATATTCCGTACAGAATGGAACCTAAAAATAGCAGCTGCAATAAAGTGAAGCTCAAACCGGCTCAGTTAGCTGCACTTACACATAAATAATATGGTGAATCGCACTTTGATTAAGTTACGTGCGCGGTGCGAAAGTGATGAGACCCTCGGGAAGTGTATGCACAGAAAAAGTTAGCAACTAACAACAAAGTCACGATATAAATAAAGAGCAGTCAACGTTAACAGCGAGCAATTTTTTGTTGCTGTTGTTGTTGTTGTTGCTGGCCTCTTGGAGCTGCAAAATTTATAACTTGACATTGTTGAATTTATGTGGCCAAAATGTTGTAATAAAACTCGAGCCTCAAACACATTCGGGCCAAAGTCTGGCGCAGGCTGTTTCTCGCTTCGTGCGGCTGGCGCCAGCGTTTGAAATAATTGCAAATATCATTCCCAATTCAATAATTGTCTAAATTAAATATGTGCACATAAACATATATATTTAAGCAGCAGGCATTAGATATTGGCAGCGCTTTTGGGCCACCAAAAATTCCTGAGATTCTTTTGTGGGCATAAATTTTTGAACTCTTGTCGAGCCCAAGCCAAAAGTAAATACGAAACTTTTGCTGGGCCACAATAACAAAATACCAAAAAAAAAACGGCAAATAAATAAAGAAAATTGGACTTTAATTAATCTTTATGAGTTTATGCAACAAGAACGAGAAGAACAACAAATATTTTATTTCGATACTTTTCGTGCTGGTTTTGATTGATTCCGCAATTGGACCGCTCTCAACGCCTAAATCCGGCCATAATCCGTGTATTTATATAACATTAAATGCTTTGTTTTCATTTCATGGCATTATAAAAGTCGCAACTCAACTCGACCCGGCTCAGATATCGCCGCAGATATCCGATTGAAGGACAGCTGGGCTTAGAGCTGTTCTGCTCTTGACAAATGGGCATTTTGTGGCCTGGCAAAAATAGCAGCAGCAGCAATAACAACAAAATCATCAAATCACGACTTGAGCGCCTTTGATTGACGTGCAGCTAGAAACGGCCACAAAAAAAAAAAAAACGGCGACAACAATAACAGCCAAAGCAATCGCAACAACTGATTGTTCATAATTAAAGCTAAAAGGCCCCGCGGCAAGAAATTTTCGCAATGATTCTGTGGGCCGTCGCGGCAAATGGCAAACGGCAAACGGCAAAGAGCCAACCGAGCTGCAAATTATCTCAGACCAGTAACAGTACATAAACTTATATAAACATGCACTGCGAGAAATACTTTGTTCTTAATTGTAATCTGACCGAGGTCGAGCTCTTCACTATACTTAGCTAATTTATGAAGCTGTCTCGATTCCAGAAAGCAAGAAAGAATGACTTAAATCAAGTTTTTCATACTTAAAAGAAGCATTTGAATACTCAAAATAAGCGTGAAATATTCTTAAATGAAGCATGTCTCTGTGAAGAATTACATTATTTGACATTTATGTGGTTCAATTTACGGGATTGGGCAGAAAGTTCATGAAAACGTCTCGAGTTAAATACCATATACCTTTAAAAAGATGTTGTATACTTGAAATAGGCATAAGGTAAAGAATTTTTTTGTACTCTACTTGAGATTTTTGGGTTAATTATTTCGCAATTAAGCAAAAAGTTATTGAAAGTGGTTGAGATTAGGTACGAGATACTTAAAACAAGAATTTTGATACTTAAAATGTTCGTAATTTGAATATATTTCTCCGAAGATTTACGTGTTAAGAACTGGGGAACTAAGCAAAAATGTTATTAAAAATGACTTAAATGAAGTGCCATATACTTATAATAGGAATTTGTATACTTAAAACAAGCAACAAGAAACTTTAGTTATTTTGGAATCAGGCAAAAAGTTCTTAAAACTGGTTTAAAATAATTGCTATAATCCTAAATCAAGATTTTGTATGCTTAAAATAAGCTTTAAGCATACTAAAAACCAGTATTACAATTATTTATTTGAGTATTGTTTTTAATTCTGGTGCAATACGAATTTTGTGCTCAAGCTAAGCAATGTCAACCCTAGTCTAGATTTCGACAATGTTTCTATTTGGTTTAACTTTTTTCGCTGAGTGTATGTGCCATGTATCTGGCACCAAATACCTGCAACAGTTACATAGACAACTTCGGGCCGCATGTCACGCCCCGTTAGGCAGCAGCAGGCTGTGCCCAGACTGCTTATTAACGCATAATTAGCATATTTAGTCTTGGTCTAAGATTGTGATTCCAAGCTGTCGCACAGGTCCACAAGGCACCCCCCACCCCTCCCCCCCCCTCCGCCCAAACAATCTGCCCCCGCCTTGAACCTCGTGCCGCCTCGTTGACATCGGCTGCAATTTGTCGATTTGTCACACAATTTCAGCAGCAACGAATTCAGTCTTCAACCGGGCATGGGCCAAGGTGTTCCCCCTTTACACTTTGCCCTTCTCCTTCACTCTTTGCCAACGTCTTCGGCGCCGTTTCCATCATTGAGCGCCAACACGGTCCGTTCGTGGTCATTGCGAGCTAAGCCTCATTTAGCTACAGCAGTCTATTACTTGAACCGATTGCCCGGGCGGGTCGTCGAGCGTGTCAGACTAGCGGTTACCCTATACTCAATTCCGAACAAGGTGTGGAAAATAACAGCTTTCAATTGTGTCACTGCTAAGTTTCTCTCGTAACGAAATGTTGGGTGCTCAAAGAAAAGGCCCTAACATGAACTCTTACCAAGCGAGATGGAGGCATTCAATCAGACGATCAATCA